CGTTTTAATATTCAATAAATATTAAAAATTACAGATCAAAAACCTCATAAAAGCTTCGATATTTTTTCACAGGCAAAAAAATGTTAACTATTTTGTGAAAGCTTTTTGCTGTGATAACTATGTCATATATGAACGTTTGTTTAATAACTATTGAAAGAGTAAATATGAATCTATATATACGGAGAGTGAATTTGAAATGAAAAGTGATATTAGTCAAGAATAAAATTCGAGAGAAGTCACAGTGGAAAGATAATTCTATAAATTTTCAGAGCACTGTATAATCTATAAAATCTTATTGATAATCGATTCTTTTTCAGTAAAATATTGATTCATTTGGATAATATATATCGAATGATATTGACGGTATGTTGTCTCCTAATGATTGTTAGTGAGTGATTTGTTTACTAAAAGCAGTTATATATACCTGTACGTCATATTTTTCGTGTTCTCTTGTTTACTGCATGACGAATATATATTTTTTTCCTAGTTTGATCGACGATAAATAGCTCGTACTTATATAAGGCTACATATGAGGATAGGGACCAAAGATTAATTGACAAAGGTAAATATAACAATGAGTGACAATAAGATCGAAAAGAAAAATTTTTTGTCGATGAAAAAATGCATTTAAAATATGTTCTAATTATTGATGTTATTTATAATTTAGATAAATAATGCAATGTTAATATGACTGTATGAAAATAATGTGTGAAAATAGTCATCCATTTTTACGTATAGAAATAGTTAAATTTCAAGTAAATCATCAGAACGAAACAATAGATTTAACTAAAGTTAAAACTGAAGTTACAATAAAAGAAAAAGATACTTTAACAAAATCATGTATGTATATTCAATATTTATTCATTTATTTTTTTTTCTTATGTTTCGTTTCTTTTTTGTTAGTACGAATAAAAAAGCCAATCTATAATGAAAATAATCAATCTATTCGATTTGATGCTGGTTTATACACAAATATAAAACGAGAAATTCTTATTCGAATTTTTTATAATGATATTTTATATGAATATGAATCAGATTTAAAACTTTTTCAAAGATTATCAGATGGATTTCGACATCAAGTATTTAATAATCAATTTATTTATTTGTTAAAATAAATAATTTTATATTTCTAATAGTTTTATTTTACACGAAAAGCTCAAGCTGAAATAATAATTGAATATATAGGTTAATTTATTGAATATTTATTTTATTTATTATTATTAATAATAATTATATAAATTAGATCCATCTCTTCGTAACGATTCTCAACTTAAAACAAAATTTCGTCATCAACGTTATGCTGAACGTTATAAAACTGTTTTAAAACATTTTGGTCATAGATTTGTCGGAAAAATCTTTAAAACACCAACACTTTGTTCAATTTGTAAAGATTTTCTCTGGTATAAACAATTTAAAAATGTTAATTATTAATAAATAATATTTATTCAAAGGGGTTTTACTTATAAAGGTTTTCAATGTCAACGATGTGATTATGTTGTACATAGAGATTGTTATAATCGTTGTATACATCCGTGTACTGGAATAAAATATCCAGATGTAACTGTTTTTTATCAATAAAATAAGAATTTACATTTTATTTAATAATTATTTTTCTTTAGAATGAAATAGGTAAAGCTCATCATTTTCAACATCAAAAATTTTCTTTCGAAACAATTTTTTGTGATCATGATGGAAGTTTTATTAAACCAGGACATTCATACAAATGCACTCGTAATTTTCGAAATATATCTTTATAGTTTTTTTTTTTAAATATTGAACACTTTTTTTAGAATGTTCAATGGTTGTTCATCGACGATGTCAATCAAAAGTTGGACATTATTGTGGATATCAAGGAAATCCTTTAGAACTTTATCAAATATGGAAAGAAAAAGTATTTCAATTTTTATTAAGAAAATTTTTGTTTTTATTTAATTTCTAATTTAGCATAAATCAGATTCAGATTGTAATTATCTATATAATGGAGATTTATGTGAAATTTATTCAAGGGTTTATAAATCTGATCGACCAAATCATGTAAATAAACAAGTTATTGACCATATCTCAACAATTAATCAATCAAATACAACTTCAAATTTTCATATTAATCAAATTGAATTTTTACAAAAATTAGGCTATGGAATGACTGGAAAGGTTTGTCAAAATTTTCTTTTTTTTTTTCAATGAAAAAGAATATTTTTTTCTTTTTTTTTGTAAATTATGAGAAGAGAGCAGACACATTAACTCTCACCGATAGAGACACTAGAGATATTAATGAAATAAATCATTCTCTACAACTACTCGATTCCCATCATCTTTTATCGTTATGTTAAGCAAATATCACAAAACACCAAACCAAATAACATCTCGACAGAGTCTTTTTTTGGATAACAACTCTCATCAGAAATATTTTCAAATTTTCGAGTAGATTCATCTCGATGAGTAGAACAAATATTGTTCTATACTGACAATTGGTAGATGCTTCCTTCTATTAGAAATTGGAGAATCGCAAAGACTAAAAGTCGCTACCCGAATCGTCCTCTTCTCTCAACTTTAATACGTCTGATAGAGTTGAAATGATTTTTTTTACAGCTACTAAACACTGTTTGGGATGTCAACCTTTTTTTCTTTATTTTTATCTTCTTCCATTAGAATAAAAAGATAAAATTACTGATCATATTATTAAATGAATAAATTATATTCTAATATCAATTATTTTAAAAGAATTTCCCATGTCGAAAAAACTGGATCATTTTTACCGGTAAACTGCGCTTATTTGCAGTGATGGGAGCCGGTAATAGGAACGATAAAACCGCGGTAAACCATCGATTTTTTTGCCGACTTTTTTCACATTTGTAGCTACATAAAAATGACATGTAAAATGATCAAAATCGATGTTTTATCGCAGTCCAATATGAAAAATGACCAGCTGATAAGTTAACCGCAGTAAACTGCAACTTTTGTCCGGTTTAACGCGGTTAATTGCAGTAATTGGAGCCGGTTATCGGACCGGTAAAATCGTCTGTTTTTATCCAGTTTTGACTAGATCGATTAACTATAATAAGTTGAATTTTAGGTATATTTAGTACGACGTGGTCAATATTATTATGCAATGAAAACTCTTCGTAAAAATTTGATATTAGAAGGAGAAAATGTTGAATATGTTCAGTCGGAACGAGATATTCTTATTCAATGTCGATCAAATCCATTTATAATTCAACTTTTTTATACATTTCAAAATGTTGAACGACTTTTTTTTCTAATGGAAGTTGCTCGAGGTGGAACATTGTTTAATATTCTTCAATATCAATCACCTATACCATTAGAACAAGATCGAATTGTTTTTTACAGTGGTGAAGTAACATGTGCACTTATCTTTCTTCATTCAAAACGTATTGTATGATTTTTTTTCTTTTTTAGAAATATATATATATATATTAATATTTATTTAATATAGATTTATCGTGATTTAAAACCTGAAAATATATTTATGTTTGAAGATGGACATATTAAAATTGGGGATTTTGGTTTATCAAAACAAAATCTTGATAAAAATCATAAAACAAAAACATTATGTGGAACATTGGAATATATTGCTTATGAAATTTATCATAGAGATTTTTATGATGAAAATGTTGATTGGTGGTCATTAGGAATTTTAATATTTGAATTATCAACATTTAAAACACCATTTTATGCTAATAATAGTAATGATACAATAAAAAATATTCTTTTAGCTCCTATAACATATCCACAAACAATGATTAAACAAACAAAACAAATTATATCTGCTTTACTTCAACGAGATCCACAACAAAGATTAGGAAATATTATTTCTCCATATGGTTTATTAAAAGATCAACCATTTTTTCAGTAATTTTATATTTTATTTCTATATATATATATATATATTCTAGAGAACCATATACACTTGATGCAATTGAAAATCGTCGTGTTCGTCCACCATGGACTCCTACTGTATGTAGAAAAATAATTTAAAAATAATGAATTTAATTTAATTTAATTTAATCTTTAGTCATTAACATCATTTAAACCAAAATCAATAGGTCCACAATTATCTCAAGTTGATAAAAAAGATGCTATTTTATTATTATCAACACCGATTGATACTTTTAACAATTTTGAATATATTAATCCTAATATTATTAATTTTCATAAACAGATTTAACACATATATATCTATATTATATATCGAATTTTTTTTTCTAAAAACATTCATATCGGAAAGATAATTATTAATTTAAATTAAAATAAATTAAATATTTTATCGATTGACAAGTTAAAATCATTTGAATAAATGATAATTCAAATATTCTAAAGTGTTTAACTATTTTTATTTTATAAAAATTTTCTCTTAATCTATCATTAATTAATAACAAAATTTTTTACTGAATTAATTATGTTCTTTATTCTTATTGTTATAATTCCTAAGAAATATAAATTAAATAAAGATGTTCGCATTCAAACTGATCGGATAATCAATGCAATCGAGAAAATGACTGATATGGATTAAATCATGATCAAGTTATTTGAAAAGAAAAAGCTCGTCTAGGTGAATATCTATTAATTAGTTAATAAATCTATTCACTATTAAAAATCTATTATTTTAACGAAAACTTCGAATATTTGTTCTTATATTCATATTGATCAAAGTAAAAAATTTTTGACAAAAAAAAATTAAAGAATTATTATAGAATTATTGAATAAAAGTCTAATAAATGTAAATATCATTGTGATAATCTCTATCTATTATATTTAAAAGTAAATGCGACAAGATTATGTTATTCTATAGAAAAATTTTCATTAATAATTGTTAATCGATTTGATGAGAAGTTTATTGTTGAGTTATTATTAGAATAGAGATTTAATTTCGTCTAAAATAACGAATTCTATATGGAGGGTTATAAACAAAATGGAGAATATCATTTTTATTTGATAATAATCAATATTCCATCTCGATGAGCACCTTCTCGAAATTATTTTTATTTTATTGCATTTCTCTCTCTTATCATTGACATATTAAATGTAATAGAACCGATATTAAATAAATTATCTTGTTCGATAATTTCAATATTTTTATCACTAGCTGTTGAAATTTTATCTGAAGATTGAAATCTTGAAGAAGACATTATAAATGACATTCGACGTTTTATATCACTATCACATTCACTTTCTTGCATTATAACTGGAGCTGTTATCGAGATTTTTCCTTGTGTATTATTATTTAAAGATATATATTTAAACAATCGAAAAAATCCACTTCCAGTATTTGATGAAAAATCAGTCTTTGCTGGAACTTCATAGGAATATTATTTATAATATTGATCAATTTTATATCCATCTTATTTGGCAATAACATTGTATGATCAAATTTCACTACTAATACTTCCAAACATTGATAAATTTAAATTAATACTCTTTTCAATATTTTTATTTTATTAGCTTTATAAATACTATCAACCTATGATTATGTCACCCGATTGGGTATATATATATATATAGATCTACCTAATCATGCTTATATTATATTGTCTTTCTTCTTGAGAAAGAAAAAGAAGCGCCTAGTTGGTTTTTTTACGTTGAAATCAGCCTAGGTCAAAGAAATGTTCTTACACAGCCGGTTACATTATTGACAAATCATCGTTTTTACATATAAAATTGATCGAGAAGATTTTGAGTACTATCGTTTATATAATCAGATTATTTATTAAAATAAAATTTTTGTAGAAAATATGTGTTTTTTAAAATATATTTGAAAGATTTGATATTATATATTGTCTAGTGTAAATAAGTATTGTCACTAATTACATTAGTTTTATCATTTTTCAATTGAAAATATTTTATTTTTTTTTATTATATTCAACCATTCTATTGAGACTCTCGATTATATGTCAGAAGATAATAATGAATTATCAACTCTATAAACGAAAAATCAATTAGAGTCTTGCAAAATTTATAATAGACAATATTAGCAAATTTATTTCTCATAACGATTTCTTCAAAAACAAACTATTCTTTTTTTTCTCAATGATAAACGTGAAAAAAATCAATTGACTTCAGTTATACGAGAGAAATTATTTCAATATAATACATATTATCTATTATATAATAAACGAGTTCTTTTTTAGTGGTCTTACTTTATAAAAGAATAACAATAAATCTTTCCATTTGACTATTCATCATTAAGTTTGTTTAGAAAACTTCAAAAGATTAACAACAAATCTGAAAAAATTATCATTTACGTAGTTTTTTAATTTGTTTATGGAATTTATCTTGGCTGAAAAAAAATAAATTCATTTTCTTTGTTCTTTTTCGTTTTAGTTGAAATAATTTAAGATATTTTTATTTCTAGAGCTTGTTCTAGAATATTGACTAACTTATTTATTTTCATATTAACTTAAATTCTCACAAATAATTTACTCTTCATTCATTCTTAGAATATATAATCGAAACTTTTCGACACTTTTTTTTTCTATTAGTTCATTTTCGTAGATTATTTTCGAACTCTTAGGCGAAGTTCAAAACTTTTAACAATTTATTATTCGAAAGATATTTTTAGAAATAAAAGACATTAGATCGACATATGAGATAATAAAACTGTTTTTTCGTCCCGTTTTTAAGATAAGTACGAGCCTAGTTTGTCAACA